GAGGGTTTGGTTGGTGACAGTTCATGAATTCCAGAGGACACCGGGGCTGGGAGAGTCTGGGAAGGATGGGAGACTGGACCAGGCGAGGCAGCACTCACTGCCATGGAAGCATGGCTCTCGGGCATGACGAGGCTAGTCCTGTGGTCTCCTAGGGTAAGAAGTGTGAATCAGTTCTCTTAGGACTGGTCTCTTAGTGTGTGGAGGGAGGTGGATGGCATTGGGTTCATGGTAATCACTTTTTCAAGAGCACCAGGGGTTCTGGAGTCTTCCTTTTTAAACTTCTATACGTGGTGTTACAGCTGGGAAAGGGGCAGGTCTTCCTGGACCACATGGCTCTATGTAGACTTCTCTTACATCCTGCTCCTGGGGAAGTCGCCGTGTATGGAGGCTGGAGGGCAAGGCATGCCTGAACACTGTGTGAGGTCTTATGAAGGCTTGAGCAGAGGCTATGGTACTGAGGATCCGTGGTGGAGACATAAGGATGCTGAGATCCCTTGTGGACTCAGAATGCCTTGGGACTGTTCTTCCATGATGCTATTTCCTTTTTGACCACAGGCTTCTTCAAAAGTGGTGGCCAAGGCTAGAGCGTCATCCTATAATTATCACCATGACATTTAGTCCATAGTCGAAGGAATTTCCAGACTTTGCTATGAGCCTCATGGTCTCAGGGAAATCTGTATTCTCATGGTCACAGATATATTTTATTCTTACACTCCCCAAATATATCAGCTTCTCAATGATCTAAACTAAGTAATCTCAAGATATACACAGTTATCCACAAACTGTGAATGTCAATTTTATCTCCTATGAGAAAAACTATTGCATTGATTGGTGGTGGTTCTCCTTTGCTTGGTGGTTTTTGACATCATGATGTCAGGAGGCAACATAGGGAAAAGAGGGAAAAAGGAGAATAAAAACTGGTCAATATGGGTATTGATTCTTTTGTATACATTTTCCATTAATTTTTCCCAAACCCCTATGGAATGGTTATTTCATACTCATTACAGAGATGAAGAAATAGATGATCGGAGATGTTTGGAAAGTTCCCCAAGGAGATGTCAGGGAAGCAGCAGAGCCGAGATTAAAATCTGGAATTATCTGATTTGAAAGCAGTTTGCTCTTTTAACCACATAAAGACCAACAATACTGGCTAAGACAGCTGGATGTGTCTTTCCCCAGTAACCAAGCAGCCAACCAATGGTTACAGATTATTCACCCTCGGCAAAGTGCTGTGCTGGGATCTGTGGGAAGCGCAGAGATAAATAAAGCACAGCCCCTATTTTCTGGGATAAACAACCTGATTGGCAACTTGTTTGCATAGAGATGCAAAACATTATCCCCAGAGGACAAGAAGGTAACCATTGTCACTGCTTTAAGTATTCACGTATCAAATTCTGTGGGCTGAGGGTTCACAGCGAAAAGGAGCGTGGATAACGCTGCGTGAACATGGGGGTGCATATATTCTTCCTGGTGGGTGTTTCAGGCTTCTTAGGGTACATTCCAAGAAGTGGGATCACTGGGTCACATGGCAGTTCCATTTTTCATTTTTTTAGCAAAAGAGATCCAGAGTCATGGAAGTAGGGAACAGACTAACAAACCTCGGAGGAGGGGGTCAGAGAGGTGGGAAGAACTTACACGCATATATGCACAACCAATGGACACAGGCATGAGGTTGGGGAAAGCAAGAAGGGGGAGGGGGTGGGGGGCAATGGGGAAAAGGGGGGACATCTCTAATACTTTCAACAATAAAAAAAAGGAGCGTGGATGCTTCAGTTTGCTCAAGTGAAAGAATATGTAATGTGAAATTAACGTAACAAAGCCACTTTTTTCTCATTTTGGTTATTTTTCAAATTTTGAAACCTTGATAACATTTTAATATATTTCTTTTTTGTCTTTTCAGTACATTGCTTTTTTGCTTTGTTTTTTTATTTTTGTTTTTGTTTTTGTTTTTTTTTTTACAAAATTGAGTTCTTAGTGCATATATAATTTTGCATCCTCTTTTTTAAAATGAAATATAAGAAATTTCCCACATTCGTGGGAGTTCTTTATACACACAAGGATTAAGGACAGAGCTATCAGAGTGGAAATGATCTGAAGAGAGAGAAGGGACCGCACAGGGGACAAGGTAGTCCAGGATGAGGACTCAGGTTGGCAAGAATCTGGTTCCAAATGTCCCGAGGACAGAGCGATCAACTAGGGGGATCACAGGCCATAGCTTCTCTGCCGTCAGCGCCACCTGATCTGTGTCCCTTTCCAAAGGGCTGCTCCGGGGGTCAAGCCAGCGGATGCCAAAGGAAGGCCATCAAGCATCAGAGACCCCAAAGCAGACTTGTTTACCAACCGGGAAGCATCCACTGAGAGGAAGCAACAGAGTTTTTTTTCACAAACTGGACCCCGACCCTTGCCTTTAGCAAAGGTTCCCCCTGTCCCCAGCAGGCCTCTTCCTGCCCCAAGGCCAAGTGCAGCCACGCTGCCAGGGAGCTGTCCTCACCTTGTCACGGCCGGAGGCTGCAATCAAACCCGCCCTACAGAACAGAAGTCTGGGATGTACCAGTAGAAACTTTGATGATGTTTAGTGTAACATCTGAAAAGGGGGTAGCTAAGTTACAATCGACATTAGAGTCCAGGAGCAGCAATTTGAGGACTGTCAGTTGCTAGACGGCTCAGAGCAAACTCTCTCATGCTAAATAGGGACCGGCTCTCAGCCGGGGTCAGGAAGGAGCAAGATTATTCTGGGGATTTTCCGTTTCCGTGGTGCGCTGTTCCTTCATTCCAACCCTGATCTGCTGTTGAACCTGATATTTCGTGAATGTCGTTTAGCATGATTTTGGAGTTTTCCTCCTGGTGGGATTTTGCACTGTTGCGGTTAATGCTCTGATTAGAATTCACATGCGCAAGATGCAAGACAGTGCCAAAGAGAACTTCTCTTCGCTCGAAGACCCAGCGCGTATGTAAAATTAAATCACTAAAAATTAAATGCAGTTTCTAGAGGTTGTTTTTGTCTCCTGTTATGAAGTCTAGCAAGCAATTCTATAAAGGTTAGAAATATCATCGAATCTCTATTATTTTTGTCTTGTATCATCATTGAAATGTTTATAAACATTTGTCATCTCCCAGAGGCTGTTCCTAGTTAACTTTTGAAGCTTACTGGCTACAATGCTCACTGTTATTATAGATATTAGCTGTCCACCTTTTGCCCAAATTTTTAACTAATTGAAATTTCCTAGTAATTGCTATTTTAACATAAAGTTAATAGTCATCACAATTGTCATTGATATTTGCAGCAATTTATTATTGCAACGATAAATGTATATTTATACTTCCAATAAATTATAGAATTTTATTTTATTTTATTCTTTTATCCTCACCTGAGGACATTTTTCCATTTTTTGTTCAGATAGAGTGGGAGGGAGGGAGAGGAAAAGAGAGAGAAACATCTACGTGAAAGGGACACATCAAGTGGCTGCCACCCGCACGACCCAACCAGGGCCGGGGACAAACTGCAACCGAGGTACATGCCCTTAGTGGGAACCAGACCGGGTCTCTCAGGACCGCAGGCCGACGCTCTAACCACTGAGCAAAACCGGCCAGGGCAATGATAGAATTTTAATAGATTAAGCAGATAAGGAGAGTCTTACTGTCAGCGGCACCTAGAATGCTCACCTATACCTAGGATATTCAGATGCTTACAATAAATCTGATGACATGCCTTGCTGAAACGCTGATTAGAAATGGTGGTCTGCATGTTATGTGATCAGGGATTATGCATAAATTTAAGAATGCAAGATATGCTGCTAAAGTGGGTATTTGACAATTTGGTCATTTCTCTAAGCTTAAAGACACATCTAATGCAAATTCAAGTAGATGACGTGGAAAGAATTTAGTCAGAAAGTGATTTTGGACCCTAGCTTTGTTACTTGATTTTGTACATATTTATTTAGCACCTACTGTGTGCTGAGAATCCAGCCATGTGCTAGAGACACATCAACGATAAGAGGGAGGCCTTTGTTCTGGACATAATGAGAGTCTAGGGAGTTGAAACAATTTCTACAGTTGCTCTAAGCTTCTACCTCCTCCTCCTGTTCAAACCTCATAAGGATGTTAAGAAATATCAAATGTGATCATTGGGAGAGCCTGTCATTCTTATGCCATGTGCATAATATATTTATCAATATTCTAGTTGTCCCAACCACCCTACAGGGTAGATAGCATAGCTTCATAGTCATGGAAACGTGCTGGGAGTTCAGGGCCTAGATTTGAATCCTGATGTCTGTGTTGCTTTGGTTTTGCAGCTAAACCCCTCTGCTCTTCAATTTACTATAGATTTGTGACAATTGAATGACTTTCTTCATTGACAATTAGATTAAATAATGGGTGTTTAGAATTCAGCATAGACTCTAGAACATTATAAGTACTGCACCGAGGTTAATAATTATTCAAATTAAGTACAATTTATCCCCTGTTAAAGAATAAGGGAATGAAAAGAGGTTATATTATTTATTCAAGGCCACACAACAAGTTGCAGAGATGAGACTCAGCCAGCTTGTTCTGTAGCCAAAGCCCTCATGTTTTATATTTTGTGTCTCTAAAAATATTTGTATCGATGTAACTGTTGGATAAATTTGAAGGCTACCTATATTGTTAATCAGTACTTTTGCGCTCTCTCCTTGCCTGGGTGCATCCACTAGTCCAGCTTGCTCGCCAAGCACAGTTCTGATTGCCAGCTTGAATCCACGAGAGTGTGGGTGTGGCCTGGTGACGGGTGAGGCCACGTTAGTCCCTGGTCTCCAGCTGCCTCTCCATTGAGAGGGGCCCTTTCTCTGCACTGACACAGAGAACTCAGCTTGGGTGAGTGAGTCGGAAGGTTGTGAACCTGGATCCACTCGCTGGACTGATGAGCATCCTGGCCTTTGCCCTCTCCCTGAGCCACGCCCGAACGCTGACTCACTGTGTCTTATGTGTGTTTGTTTGAAATTAGTGTCGCAAATTACTCTCTGACGATGGCGGAGAGCTCACATGGATCTGGCGGTCCCGGAGGAGGCCAGGAAAGGAGCAGGCGAGACATCCTGAAGTCCACCAAGAAGGCATGGGTTCGTCTGGATGACCAGCTGCCCGGCTCCCAGGAGGCAAGCCGGCACCTCACCACCCCCACGCTGGGTGAGGACGGGTCCTTGGGGCTGTCTGGAACTGCCCTACTGTTGGGAGGCGAGGGACGTGGACGCTTTTGTCTGGGGTCTAATAATTGTAGAACATGGACTTGGCTTTGAAGATACCAGAGTCCCTGGCATACTGCCAGAAACGTCTATGAAATGAGCACTTGTGACCTTAGAGACACTTGGAGCACAGACCTTCTTGATGGGAACAGACCAACTAAAGAATGAATTCTGCTTCCTTTCCACTCCAGGGTGCCCCATCCTAAGCCCCCGGGACCCCGAAGCTGCGCAGAGTCTATGTCAGAGACAGGAGGCTTCCTTTTATTGAAAAGCTTTTCTTTGCTGCGTCTTACATGGGTCATCAGTCATCACCTAGTCGCTTAAAGAGTAATAACTAAGGAAACACTTTTCCTTCTACTATGATGTGACTGTTTGATGATGGTTCTTTGTCTACTACCTAGTCTGTTCTATCCCGTCACAGCACCCCAGCTGAGGAGTAAACACCTCCATGTCCAGCTGGCCCTTTTGGTTCACAAGACAACTTGCGAAGGGTTATTCAGCTGCCTCCACGTTTGGTAGTTTAAAGTCAACGAAAGTCAGCCCAGAGTCGTCTGCAGCCAATAACAAGAAATGCTGCCTTTCCATCTTTTCCTTTTTACCTGGCGACTCTGTGTTGTGCCTGGATAAAGATCCACCTTAAAAGACCGGTGCCTTTTTAATGCAGGGTGCCTTTGGCAATCCTGGGAGTCTAGTGCAATTTGTCCCTGGAATGAATGCAAATTTGGTTTCTAACCTGGCAGAGAACTCCTTGCAAATAAACATCCCTGGCTAGCTGCCTTAGGTAAATGCCGTGATTCAATCAGGAGGGCTCCAGGGTGATTTCCATCCAACAAGAGAAAGACAAAAGTCTTGTGTGCTTGTTCACCCTTTGCATTCACGCCAGGTAATTAAAGAATTATTCAAACATCTCTTGCTCTTTGGTAGTTTTTCTCCCCTTTCATGTTTTTTTAAGTTACAGTCTTTTGGCAAGTGGATCCTTCATTTTCAGGAAAGGATGATTATAGAAAACATGAATATGCTTATAGAAACATGGAACTAAATATGTAGGAAATGGAACTCGTGGAGGGTGGCTCAATAATGAAATTCAGTCATTTTCACTGGTTGTCCTTTGACTAACTGTTTTGTTTCTTTCTCATTTGTAGAAGGTTCCAAAAAAGAAAGTATTCAGCAGTGGCTGGACTCTGGATTCTTGTAAGTGTTTCTTTGTGCCCTGGTACATGTCTCTGGCAAAGATCCATAAAAACGATGTGGGTGACCCTGCTGGGGCCAGGTGTGACACAGGGGGATTTTCACTGTATCTGGGTGCTTGACAGAATCCTCTAGTATCACAAAAATTATGTATCAATTTAAAGTACAAAACAGAATTATTCTATTTTAGTCCCTGGCTTCCCATTTGTTCCTGAAAGTCCACTCGTAATGAACCATAACTGCATTTACTCTCGTCTATTTAATTTAAAAAACAATAGCGTACAATTAATGTATGCACATTGTTTGATTCATATACTTTTGTTTCTTTACAGTGTCTCTGCAGATGAACACTTGCAGCAAGTCCTCGACCACACTGGTAAGACAAGAGAACCCAGGAGTCGCCAGGCTTTGTGAACGGGTAGGGGCGGTCATGTCTGTGCAAAGCAGTCTTCTTACAATGAGAATTATCAGAGGTTCCTAGAAATGGAACAGATCTCAAAAACCATCCGGTGCAATCGCTGGATTTGCTGTGTGGGACTGAGGCTCAGAAAGGATAGGGGAGCCCAGCAGCCGCTCGGGGCAGGACACCAGGACTCTTGCCATAGCGTTAGCTCAGACTGGAGCAGGAAACGCTGTGTTCGATGAAGACATTTTACAAGAATGCAATTAGGGAAATGAAATTGTTTCATTTTTCCCCACAGTGTATTGTAGTTTCATTTCTAAATCTAGTTTCTTCCTCTTCCTTAATGTCAGAGATCCATCCTCTCTTTCTAACCATGCAGTTGTCCTCACAAAGATCAGATGACCGAATTCTACGGCGAACAATGCAAGTATGTACTTCGGAGGCAGAACATGTAGCTCACTTGTTACACTGAGATTTGATAAGAGCATTATAAAAAGAAAATTTAATTACAAGGCTCAGAGTTTCCATCTTTATTAAATGAAATACCATATTTCACAGAATCTCAGGCCCCTCTATGGTAAAATGCCCTCACTCGAAGTTTCACTCGGGAAAACAAAGCAACCAGCCTGGCAATAATAAATGGCAGGCAAAACCGACACAGCCTGATTTCATGCATGTTAAAATGTGAAGAAAGTACGTTTTTAAACTGATAAAATGCCATAAATAATGTATGTAAAAGTGACGTAAAATAGTAATTTAATGATTAGAGGAAAAAAATTATTGGTCGAATTGTTCCTTACTTGGCTGTTTTAATTATTTCACTTTTCCACTGCCCTTTTAATTAAGATGACCATTGGCTGCAAACCAGTTTAAATTTGGGCTTTTTTAACTTGAAAAACTAGGTAAATTCCTTGACATTTTCTTATTTGCCAAGCTTATTTTTTTATTGATTTTTTTAGAGAGAGAGAGAGGAAAGGAGAGAGAGAAGAAAAAACATCATTTTGTTGTTCGACTTACTTATGCATTCACTGGTTGCTTCTTGCCTGTGTTCTGACTGGGGACCGTTGAACCCACAACCTTGGAGTATCAGGATGACACTCTAACCAACTGGGCTACCCAGGCAGGGCGACCAACCTTATTTTTTAATATCAAAATTCCACGATGCCAAAATCTCTGGAGATGTTTGTCAATAAATTGAAGCTAAGTACTTCTGTTCATCATAGTTCAGACTCAGCGAAAGGCAAGAACTTGAGAAATAAGGCCAGCATTTCACATCTCCCAACGTTTCATCTTCCCAGGTCATGTAGGACGCCTGGCACCGGTACCAGGGGGGTCAGTAACTGCATTAAAAGCTTCTCTTCCCTAAAAGTAAACATGGCCCCTCCTGCTTGGAATCAAGTCGGTGACCTGTCAGGGCTCAGACCCAAGGTGAAGCCCCGGAGAAGGGAGGGCACTGGAACGGCCGAGATCGGAGGCAGATTCAATTTGCCGGGTCCTTCATCTCCAGCGTGGCGTCTAATAATAATGGAAGAGCTTCTTACAGGTGTAATTGAGCCTTCACGGTTACAAGGCCCTTTCTCATCGATCACATTTTCAACTCGGTGACCTGTGTGGTAGCCAGGCTGGTGTTCATTTGTGTGTGACAGGTGGAGAATCTAGGGCATGGCGTGGTCAAAGGAGCATCGTTTCTGGTCACAGCTGGTTAGTGGCAGGAGGAGAGGCCCTGGCAACCCCCTGCGTGCCGGCGTTGGTGGTGGTGGGTACACAGAGAATTCAGGGAAGCCAGGAGCTGCGCCGGGGTGTGTGGAAGCTAGAATAGCACCAGGAACGGGGACCCGAAGGCCGTGCCGAGTGTGGCAGGGAGACACCTGTGGTGGAATGAAAAGGAACTGAAGAGGAGAAAGAATAGTAGCCCCTACTGGAGGGGAAACCCTGTCTAAACTCCTGCAGTCCTAGCACACTGCCGAGGGGCACACTCGTCCCTAGGGCACCGTACAAATTGCCACAACGTGACAGTAAAAGGAAAAGTATTCTCCTAATCCCCAAGGCTGGCCGTTTGAGATCAAGGTGCCGGCAAGGCATGCTCTCTCTGGAGCGTCTAGGGAGAACCTGTCCCGGCCTCTGTCCTCACGCGGCTCCTGTCCGCCCTCGGGTCCTGGGCTTGCAGCTGCGGCCCCGTTCTCTGCCCCTGCAGCGTGGCTGTCTTTTCCCTGTGGGTCTTCTCTTATTATAAAGACACCTGTCACTGGACCTAGGATTTAGGGGTCACCCTAATCCAGTACGACCTCACCTTTACTCATTATATCCTCAAAGACCCTACTTCCAAGTGAAGGACATGTTCCGAAATCTCAGATACAGCAATAAAATCGGGGTGATCCTCTCCAACCCACTACAAGTGGGGCTCATCCCGAGGCTGATTTCCCTCCATGATCGGTTCTGAGACTTGATACATTGGAGTAACGAGACCAGGGGCCTGCCTGCCCATCTTCCAGGCAACCCGGTCCCTCCAGGGGAAGCAAGCCGGTGGGCCCCCAGGACCGACCGTCCTCCGGGAGGCACGGCAGTGAGACTGCGGGTGCCAGCGTCACGGGCACCTGCCCAACTGTTTGCAGTTATTGGACTCAATGTGGGAAGAAGTATTTACCAAGTACCTCTCCATATGCTTCTTTGGAAACAAAAGGAAGCAGTTAATGAAAAGGAGAGCTGGAAGAAAGGATGGAGACAGGGGAAAGTTTTTTTCTCCCAGGAGATGAGAGCTATTTCAAGAGGTACTTTCGCCGATGGGAATGATTCCGTGGCCCAAGGTGTCCGACGTGGGTATGGCCCCTTCCCCTGGCTTCCCTGGAGCAGTCCGTCATGCCGGGCCCTCCCCTCTGGACCCTCCCCTCTGGGCCCTCTTCTCTGGGGTCTTTGAGGTCTCTTCCACTGAAGCATTGCTCACCCACGCTTATTTACTGGTAAAAGTTATTTGGGCTTCTCCTTCGTGACAAACACCTTCCCTTGCTTCTTCTGTCGCTGCCAATGATGCTTGTGTCCCGAGTCTCACCCGGGCACTTCACAAAGGATGGCCTCTCCCCAGTCTGCCCTGTCTTGTGACAAATATTAGGGTATCTTAGCTCAGGGGCCTGAGTCTCGTCTCCAAGCATCTCCAGGGCATCCTCTGCCCAGGGCACTTGGATGACTTACAGAGAAGCCACACGGGCATCCTTCAACTTCTTACTCCCTTTCCTCTCCGAGAGGCAGCGCTCCGTGTGCAGGTTGACTCCTCTGGTCACCAGCTGCACACGCAAACAAGTGGGATTCTTGGTTTGGGCTCAGTGAGGGTCGGTGGACCTTCAGAGGTCGTTGGAGTCAGTCATGGCACTCAGTGGACCATGGTCCTGGATGGTAAGGTCTCTCTTCTCGGGCTGCTGACTCGTTCTTAGTCCCGGAGTCCAGATCAAAGCTGTGTGTGAGGGAGCCCAGAGAGAGGAGCTGGTTGGTGGCAACCCCATTCCCACCACTAGAAAGCAAATCAAACATCAGCTCTCATCCCGAGAGCGCACGCCGTGATGCCGCAAGGACAGGCGTGTAGACCGAACGAAACGATGACGTCAGGGCTCTCTAACGTGTACTTGTCTAACGACACATCCGAGCATAACTGTGAGGGCAAACACTGGGACAAACCCCGGCAGAAAGAGAGTGTCCGCTGGGTGCCACGGCTTATGGGATGAGTGGTAAATTCACTTGTCCTTCAGAATACTTAGGTATTTCTTCTCCAGTCCCCGAGGAGGTCCCTGAGGAGTAAACTCGTCTCTTTCCAGAAGGAATTGATTAAACAATAAAAACTTACAAAATCAAATTCTAAATTTTATGGTCTCTATTATAAGAAAAGGTCAAAGTCAATCTAATTAAACATAGTAGATGTTACCTTGATGCTTAGCAAAAGAAAGCATTCAGAACAAAGAACTGTGCTGGGTGGTGGGTACAAAGATATAAATTCTGGCCCTGGCAGTTTGGCTCAGTGGTTAGAGTGTCGGCCTGTGGTCCAGAGAGACCCGGGTTCGGTTCCCGCTAAGGGCACGTACCTCGGTTGCAGATTGTCCTCGGCCCTGGTTGGTCGTGCGGGTGGCAGCCGCTCGATGTGTCTTTATCACGTCAATATTTTTCTCTTTCTCTCTCTTTCTCTCTCTCCCTCCCACTCTATCTGTACAAAAAATGAAAAAATGTCCTCGGGTGAGAATAAAAAAAAAAAGATATCAATCCTGTGGCTCCTGCTCTCAAGAATGTCACTCTGGCTTTCCAGGACCACAACAAGCTGCACATACCTATGCCAATGTTCTCAAAGACCTTTTCGTCTTATCCTCCCCCTCATTACATCTCTAGTTCTTTTTTCTTTCTTCATCCATTTTCTCCTGTCTTAACATCTTTCTTGTTCTCTTCACCTCTTGCCCTTCTTCTGAGTCCTGATCAAGTTCCATATTTTTGATCAGACCCTTCCTGACATCTGCGCTGAGAGACTCAATCACTTTTCTGAACATCAGTCACATCCCTCATGGGTCTGTTCATTTGGCACACGGTCTGTGCTGCCTCAAATTATTAGGGAGATGATCGACCTCCCTAACAAAATTGTAAATGCCCCGAGGCAGGAAGCCCCTCTAACACAGCTGATTTCTCCAAAGCTGACCGACCAAAGGGTCTTAGTAAAACTGGTCCATGACGAAGATGGTGTAGTCAGATTGGGAAATCGTCAGAGAAGAGATGAGAGCTGAGATCGTCAAAGAGAAATATGGTTTCGAGGGGGGAAAAGGCAAAGCAAGACAATGTCATTGGGCGGAAGCAAGGGCAGCTTGAACCAAGCCACAGAATGAGAAGCGAGTGAAAAGTGTGCGGGGATGCATACGGAAGGCGGTCAGACTAGAGAAGCAGTTTCAGGCTCGGGAGCAACGGTGGAAATGTTTCTGTTCAACAGGGGGTCCCCAGGCTCGAAATGC